TCATACGTAAATCTAATTAAAAATTTATTTGAATTTGTTTACAACTTTCAAAAATCACTTTCATGATGAAAAACAGTCTTTTCAATTTTCTTAACGCTGAAGTTGATCTTATCAAAAATTATTACGATTAAGCAATGAAGGGTAGTATAATGGTTAATTAAGTTACAATCTCTGTTAAATTAAGGCAAAAGTAAACGAGTAAAAGCTAAAAGATCATACCGCCCCGGCGATCAATGCGCCCCCATCTCCCCTATATATATATATATATATATTATATATATATAATAATAATAATAATAATAATAAATGATGCAGCAAGTGCATCCTGTGCTAATCATCCCAAAGAACGCCATTAATGTCCAAGCGTATAGTAGGTAACGCCATTACTGATTGTGTAGGGAGAGAGCAGGCACAAACATCTTCTCCCTTGGTACGTTTTTTGTACACATTTTTAATATGTGTCCGTACTCTTGACGCAAGTAACTCAAAACATCACTTGTCTCCCGTCTTCAACCTGACTTGTTTTGATTACTATTTCTTTGTTGATGACAACCTCTTGCAAAATGGTTGTGGGGTTTACACTCTTAGCTAACTGATTGTGTTTGATCTTCTAGTAACCTCGGCTCAGCACGTCTTCTTATTGCAGAAGCAAAATTTTATAGAAACGTTTATTCCATCGTTTTGCTCTTCAATCATGAGTGCTCTTGTTTGTGTGCTCTTGTTTGCTCAAGTATTTTTATAGTAGTAAGATCATCCATACGAGAACTTAATCTCAGCATCCGTCGAACTTCCTCAGGGAGCCCAGACACAAAGACACATGCAATTGCTCTGTAGTAAGATCATCCATACGAGAACTTAAGCTCAGCATACGTCGAACTTCTTCAGGGAGCCCAGAGACAAAGACATATGCAATTGCTCTGTCTGGTAGCCCACCAATTAGCGTAGATAATCGTCGCAGTTCCACCAAATAAACATCAACTGCCTCTCCATGCTTTAACTTTCTCGTAATGAACTGTTTCTAAGCTGTAAATGTATCAACGGCAAAAGTTTATGGCAACGCTTCTTATATCTTATATATACAATTATTTACTTATAAAATTATGTACAAGTAACGCAAATCGATTGATAGCTTTAAAACAATCATTAACTATATTTATACTTTACATTTATATTCTTCTGTTTATATACTGCGTGAAATTTAACATTATTTATTTCTTCTTATTATTATTTACATTTTTTTTACACGCTAATGAAATGCATGAAAAATTTCTATGGTATTTTTCTTTTTAGAAACATTAGTGTCACAAAAAAATTCGATTTGGTCGATAAGTTGATAGGCGATCGTTTGAAGAGCGCTCTTAATAAAATGGCATAAAATTTATTTATTATGTTTTTTATCCTTACATTGTAAATAAATAAAAAATATTTAAACTATTAGTTATTTAGCCGGATTTAGGCTGTTAGACCTAAGTTTTCATTTGTAAAAAGTTTTTTTTTTCCATAAGTTATTTATAAATTACTTAAAAGTAAAAAATATTCAAGAAACAACGTTAAAAAACGACAAAGCCTTTCATTTAGACTTAATAAAAGCCAATAAAAATCGACTCTTTTTTTTAACAACCTCCCCTTTCAATATTTGCATCATTAGTCGGCAAATTCCGACTTTTTTGTACTTTCATTTGGCAAATTTATGTTCAAAGTTGATAATAAAATGAAACCCATCTTATTTAACTCTTTTTTTTTTTGAAATTTTTTAAATAAATCATTTATACCCAACACGAATTTCAAATAGCAAATATATTCAACCAAAAACAAATTATTCTGCTAAGTTCTCGATTGCTATCAAAGGACCTAAATTATGGAACGCACTAATAAATTAAAAATAAAATTAAATAGAATTAAAAATAGAATTAAAAATAACTAATAAGTTAAAAACTATTTCTTCCTTTGATCAATTCAAAAATAAACTTAAAAACTTTTGATAATTGTTAAACTTCTTCTGAAACTTTAAAAAAAACGTTTTTTATTTGTTTTTGTTTTTGTTTTGTTTTTTACTACATTCTTAATCATATTTAATTTTTATAATTCTAAAATATTAAAAATTGTAACAATATTATTTTTTATCAAATATATGTGTTTAGAAATGTGTAAATATATTCAGTTTTTATACAATAGTTTTGTGTTTTGTATAATAGAGTATCTAAAAAATTTATTTTTTAGAATTCATACTTTAAAGGGGCTTGGCGATGAGACTGAATTTTTTATGGTGAATTTATTTATAGTGAAATACATAATAATATCAGCATAACTCTTTATAGAACTAATACGATAATGGTATAAGATAAATTATCCAAAATTAAATAAAAACGCTATAAAAAATTAGATAAAAACACTATAAAAAAACTAGATAAAAACACTATATAAAAATTAGATAAAAACACTATAAAAAACGCAGTCTTTGCTTGAGTTAAAAGGAGCTTAAAATTACAAAAGTTGCTGAATCGAATGATATACCTAAATTTGCTCTACAATAAGCCAGCTGACCAAGATATAAGCAATATCTCGTCGCATTCTTCAACATAGTTGGTTTCTTCGAGCAAGTATTGTCAATGGAAGCTGAACAGATTCTTTTTTATGGGATCAATTCGATGGAATTTTTACAAAGTTTTTTTTTAAGTTTTTTTTTTTTTTAATTAGAAGCATTTTACAACGAAATGCAAAAAATTTCTTAATTTTAGTTAAACCTTTTTTTAAGTGTATTGGTGTATTTTGTAATATTTTATACGAAGCATTATATTTCTAAGAGTTGAATGTTTGAAAATGTTTGAATAGTAGATAGCCTGCATTTTTGAAGATTTTAAAGATTTGTAATCAACTGTTGCTTTTTACCGTCCCATTTCATATCACTTGCAAAGAATGAAAAATTTGATACTCTATGGTTTTGTTATTTTGTTGTCGTAGCTTGTTTTAAAAAAATACTATTACATTTTTCTATTTATAATATCAATGAACTTTAGGAACATTATAAGAAATAGCAATATTTATAAGCAATTTTTTTTAAGTGTCCCAATATGTTCCGCTCTACCATTATTTTTAGTATAGCAAATAACAAGTAAAATACAGCATACATTGTAAAGGCTTTAACATTAGTACAAAAATCATTTAAACTAATATTTTTTAGTTTTTGATCAAGTATGTCCTAAAGTATTGTGGGACTGAAATTAAAACCTTCAAAATGGTTAGCTGTATCCTATTTGCTTTATCGCAAAGCATCTATAAAATCTCAAAAAATTTATTCAGTTTAATGGGGAAAAAGAGGATAGAAAAATATTTTTGTTAACATAAAAAGGAAAATTAACGAATATATAAATAATAAAAATTGTAAAGAAAAAAAAGTTGATAAATAATTTTTGTTATATAGAGAGCGTTCCTATCGAAAAACTTCATTAATAACATAAAAAATTGTAATCAAACTAAAAAGAAGTTTATGAAGATTTTCTATAATAGTTTAATCTAAGATCGTTTCAAGTGTGACTGTCTGTTTAATAGAGATGAGGTGGAGGTTTCAATCACTATTTGTTTTGGCCGACTATTGAACTTTCAAAAAACGTCCAAAACTTGCTGTACCGTGGTTTTCCAACACAAGACTATTAGATTTACTCAGAGTACTTTAAAAACATCATATGCACACAAAGAAAACTTCAGTATTGGTGTCAAGAATTTTTCAGGTTTTTCATAACCTCAAATAGGATTTGTTGTTGTGGCAATAATATCTTAGCAGTATCTACCATTTGCTTATAATATCTTTTTTACTTTCAGTTTAAAAACACATCCTACAGTTCCAGCGACAAGATAGTCGGAAAATTTTGTGAAACCCTTGAGAAAACCCACAAAAAAGGCCAAGTTATTAAAATCTCCAAAGACTTTCCAATGAAGCTTATCATATTTAAATTTTGGAATAAAATCTTCATATTTGATGCATAAAAAAGTTTGATAGAATTTTGCTATTATAAATCAGGACAACCAAGAGGTTTTTGCATTAACTGTCAATAAAAAGGTGCTTTTTGTTCATACAATATATGATGCCAACAACATCAAAATAATGACACGCAACTTTGCAAAAACACAGTTAAGCTTTTTTAAAACTGTTACTTGTGCTCTTTTGTTCATAAGCTAGCTTAATTTAAAAAAAAAAAAGGTGATTTATAAGTACATAGACATAGAAATATAAAGGAGCATCAACATATATAAATGCACAGGAACATTGAAACACCGCGTGATTACAAAGATTATAATGTTGCACAAGTATAAAAGTGATATGTTGCTCAAGTAAGCAAGTAAGCTCATATATTTAAATGTGCATTATTTTTTTTAAATGGGTGTGAAAAGGTGATGTTATTAGTAAAAGTTCAAAAGACGTTCAAAAGACGTTAAAAGACGTCTTGTTTACGTCCCGTGCCCACTTGGGTAATAAAGCCCTAATTTTTATAAAAGTATAACAGTACAAGAGTTAATTAAGGAGCAATGAAAAAATTTATTTTTATTCCACAAAAAAACTCTTTTGCAAACAACTTCACTCAAACAATTTTTTGCGAAGTTATTATGTTTTTTATTTAAAATTTAACTTTTAAAAATTTTAAAAATAAAAAAAGCAATTTAATTTCTATAAATGGATAAACAACCTGCTATTTGCCTAAAAATATAAACTTAAATACTATAAATAAAGACGATATACTAAAAATAAATATTCGTTTCCGGATTAAAAATATAAACGGCATTAATAAAAAAACGCTTAAAATTAGTGAAGTTTAATTACCAGAAGTGATATAACCCTTGTTCCGTTGCTTTTATAAAAATAAACACATTAGCAGTTTTACGACTCCAAACCTACTTTAAATAGAACCTTTCTGTCATTTTTGAGCTTCAAACTGAAAATAGTGTTAATACTAATTCAAATATAAAAATTGATTTCTGATGCTTTTGATAATAACTTCTACAAAATGTGCAATGCAAAACAGTCTGAACTTCTCAACGAAAATCTATATTATGAGTTTCTTAAATCCAATATTGTGTCTAATAACTTGACAAACACTATATATGGTAAGACTTAGAAACTTTTTCTTTGTTATACAACATTTGCAAATTTTGTTTTACAAAAAAGGTAAATAGGTTGGCTTATTGGTTTCTTTATATTAATTAGAGCCTGAAACCGAATTTGTATTTAACCAACCAATGAATAATGAAGTATGTGTAAATAAGAATGCAAGTCATGCAAAAGTAAAAGCTGTGCTTGAAAATCGTTGCATCTTTGAGCAGTTTGAAAAAAATACAACAGAAATGGTCGTGACTAAACAAGGAAGGTAAACACAAATTATTTTTTTGGGGTTTGCTTTAGGCAGATGTTCGTGATATTGTTTAAGCATTGCGTTTTTTTTTTTCTACTTGATTAAAATTTTTTGTTTCTTTTTTATGGTCAAACTTAAAAACTTGTTAAAAAAACGTTGACATAAAACATTAATAATAAATACATTATTTATTTAGACGGATGTTTCCATCACCTGAGATTACTCTGTCAGGATTAGATCCGAATACATTATATTATGTGGCTATGGATTTTACTGCAGCCGACAATGCAAAATATAAATGGTCTAAAGAAAATTGGGTATTGCACGGTGAAAGGGATACTCATTGGTCATCAAATACATTTGTTCACCCAGAAAGTCCTCTTTTAGGTTCGCAATGGATGAAAAAAATAATTAATTTTAAGACAATGAAGCTCACAAATAGTACATCAAGCTCATTTGGAAATGTAATATGTTTATAATTAATGTTTTTCATCTGAAATTTTTTATTTCTTTAAATCAAATAAAAAGAAAAAAAATTAAAAAATATTTCGATATGTAGTATTTTTCTATTTTTTATAGATTGTTTTGAGCTCAATGCACAAGTATCAGCCTCGTGTTCACGTTATACCATATTACGAGGTCTATTTGAATTATTCTCATCCCATCAGCACCTTTGTTTTTAAAGAATGTCAGTTTATTGCTGTTACGGCATATCAAAATCCGAAGGTTGATATTTTATTTAAAAAAATAATTATCCTTTATATACAAGTATAAAATAATTGATTTTTTGATAACAAAGTAGTAAAATAAAGTTAAAATTATTAACATTTGATAAACCAAAAACTTATAAAAATAAATTTTTTTTTTTTTAACGAAATTCAGATTACGGACTTAAAAATAAAATACAATCCCTTTGCAAAGGGATTTCGCGAACAGAGAAAACGAAAATTACCAATACAGCAAATTTCTTCCTTTGAGCAGTCAATTATAAAAAAAAGAAAAAAAGGTTTTTAAGTCTTTTCTTTGTTTATTTTATATTACTCGATATAATTATAATTATTATCATAGTATAGTAATGATTTTATCATCATGTTATAGTTATTATTTATCGTTCATTTTGTTAAATCTTTTATTTATTTTTTTTGTAGTTTTTCTGAAATTTTTCCTTCAAGTTATTTTAAATAAATTCACAAAATAAAAATAATTTTTAAGTATTTACGAAAATATATTCTTTTAATATTTCGCTTTTATAGACAAATATATTACAAAACAAGATTCAGTTGACAAAGATGAGGAATCTATCTTTACACATTTAATCTTACCTTTATCAGAAGGGTTGGATTTGTCTGCCGAAAAGTTAATTGACGAACTCACCATCCCAGGATCAACTTCAAGAAAAAATTTAGAGCTTCTTTCCCAGCCGTATTTTAATTACAGTGGTTTCAATCAAACAATTTCAGAACCAAGTTTCATGTGCGATTTATAATGATTTTATGTAAATATGTGAAGTTTTTTGTACTAAAATTTTATTAAAAGCTTTAAATAATAGTTTATTTTGTAAATAAAAAATAGAAATATATTTATAGAAAAAAAAAAAGAAATGTTAAAAATAATATTTAACTGTAAATAACTTAATTTTTGTAATTTTTTGAACTCAATTTACTATTTAGTTGAATGGAAATAAATATTTTAAAGTAGTTTCAGGGTTTTGACTGGTTCAATTTTCAATTAAATACAATCATTTTGCGGGTTAGCGCAATGCTTATAAACTGATACAGAAGAGTGCCTGATATTTTTCATATTTTAATCTTATTATAAAAAGCATAATTATAATATAATATAAAAATTATAATAGGCTAAAAACATATTAAATACGCTCTACGCCAACTTTTAAGGCTTTGATACGCCTATCAAAAATATTAAAAAATATTAAATAAATTTGAACATAGTCATTATCAAATAGAAATGCTAATCTTTAAACAAAAACACATTTTTAAAAATTTCAGCAGAAAATGATAATACATGTTAACAAATAGAAATTAGTTTAAAACTTAACTTTTATTTGTTTATGTTTTTATATTTCCTAGTATACTTTACTAATTTTATTATTCATAACATGTCAAAATAATTTTAATAACAAAATACTTTTTTGGTAACAAAAGTAATAAAATTTAAACATATTAATATAAATTAGATTAATGCGAATATATTAAAAAAAAAATCAGTTATGAGATAAAATGAAATGAAACTTGAACTATTGTGTCATTTAGGTTATAGTATCATCGAGTCTGGTTTACAGTGCATAATAAACAATAATTTAATACAGATATATTTCGAAATGGTTAAGTTTGCAAATGTGTAAATAAATTTGAATTTAAAACTTATTTAAAAAAAATCTTGTATCATATTGTACATATTTTTCAAATCTCGATAGTTGTCTCACCCAAAACTGAGGCGATCTTTTACAACAGTTTTAAGTTCTCAAGAAAAATAAAACTAATTAACCGGCACTCAGAACCTTGCTACACAACGAATTAGATTTCATTGCAAATTTGCCGATAAGTGCAAAGTTAGGAATTAATTTTTTTTTTTCACTTTTCGAAATCAATTGGAATATGTAATAAGAGGCTAGTAATCCATCTTTGTTAGTTTTATTTTGTTTTTGAGATGGTAACGATTGTTGACCAGTTTAGGATTTTTTTTTTTATATAGCTATTAAAAATACTCAATCGGCTCGTCCTAATCATTTGGATGTTGCAAATCATAAAAGTGTTTTATTTACAAGTCGTTTGGTATTGAAACATTTTAAATAAAATCATTGTACTTTTTATTTATAGTTCTTGCCACTACCGCAATTACATAAAAGTCATATTTAATTTTTTTATTATTATCATTATTAAATCATATAAATCCATATTTATTATTATTTAATTATATCAAGGCCATTTTCAATGTTTTTTTCACAGAAAAATTCCTACCGTTTACCAAAAAATCCCTACCAGCACTTAGTCGGTGGTAAGAACCAGGTTGACTACACACTAGACAATTGATAATAAATTAAAAACTGACTACTGCCTGTTTCATAGCAGGATAAATAAAGCCACTAAACATCGTAAAATTTAAAAAATAGTAAAAAAAAAAATAAACAAAGGGCTGAAAATCATGGGTCTAGGAGGTAAATAAATATTAATGTCATTATAACCAAGTAGAAATCAAGTGCTGGATGTATCGCAATCCTGCTCCTAAGGATTGTACTACAATCACTAACGACGAGTTTGAGACCTGAACTAACGCCACTCATCAGGGGCGCTGAGATCTATCTGCAATAGATCTCAGCGCCAATAAATAACCTGCACATAGGATATTGTAATTCATAGAGACTTACATTTCTTTAAAGACTGCAACGTTTCTAAGAGGTCGCCCATAAATTATGTCATGCGATTCTTTACCATTTTTTCCTTGTCACTACATTGTGACTCTTTAGTAATAAGTCCCGTACAAGTCGTCCCTAACCACTAATCCCTCCCCACTCCCTAGAGAGTGACGTATTTTATGAAAGACCCATAATATACATCTATGAGTATTCATATATATATATATTTATTTTCGCGTTAGTTTTTTAGTATGTAGCTCAGATCTTTACGATTCGCTAATTCCTGGGTTTATATATATATATATATATATATATATATATATATATATATATATATATGTATGTATGTATGTATATATATATATACCAACAAAATAATTTAACGCCAGAGCAAATTTTAACGAAATTTTAAAATAATTTTTTTTTATTTGATTATGTCCATTTAATTGATGCATATTCTGAAAATATGTAAAAAAGTAATAAAGTTGTTTAAATAAATTAAGAATAATTAAGACAATTTTTTTTTTCGTTTTTATACTTTTTCTTTGTTTGTTTTCTTTCTATTTGTTTGTTTGTGATTTCTATTTTTAGGTGTCATTCCATTGGCTAGTTTGTAACTTTAGTATGAATGACACCTAACCGATTTCTGTAAAACTACGATGAATATTTTTGAAATTTTATTTAAATGGTTGCATAATAATGACATAAAATATGGTTTGTAATGATACTTACTACCATTTAGATTTAATCATCTTCATCTACTAATTTTCCGTAATAACTCCAAACATTTCTTTTGTAGCACAACTTTATCTTCAAATAATTTTTTGATGAGTTTTATTTTGTTCACAACAATATTAGAATATATTGTCTACTAATCTATTTATATGAAAACTCTATGAAATATTATAAATCTTGAAAATAAAAGTAAGAATGTAGTAAGACCTTCTTTAATTCCTAAAGGAATATAATCGGTTATTTGACACATAATATATAGGTTATTTGACTCATTTGAGTCGGGTGGTTTTTAGTTTTAAGTTCTTTTTTGTTATTATTATTTTTTATTTTTGTATAGAAAGCAGTCGCCCTCCCCCTTCTTTATTCTGTTTCAAGAACCAAACTCATTGTATAATCAAGCTCATTGTAAGCGTCACTCACAAGCGTCAAACTCATCGTATAATAATTTAAAGTTCGTTAGGATAAACTTTTTTGTTTAAGTGTTGTTACTATGACAACATTATTACTAATTTTTAAAATGGTTCACGTTTTAGACCTTCACTTTTGTAATTAATTTTTTTCTGTCTTTTTTTATCCGTTTTTGCCTTTTATTTTTTATATTCCATGCATTTTATTAAAAATCCATTTGACATTTATTTAATTTTTTAGTTAAACTAAACAATTTTATAAACCAGAATAAGGCACAAATAATGGATCTTACAGGAAGCAGCTATGAAGGGAATTTTGATGTTTATGGCAGGTAAATTATAATAAATTTTTAATCGCATACATGTTTATGTGTTTGTTTGTTTATATTATATTTCTAAATAAACTGTAATTAACAAAGTTATAACGGAACATGGCCTAAATTCAGGCCACAATTAGGATAGAAAGTTATTATAAATCACCAAGTATTATTTTAGTTTTTGTTGTCTAAACAAAACATCAAAGTTTTAAACAATGGGCCTGATATAAAAATCTATGAGTACTATTTGGATACACTATCAAACCACCTCAGGAAACATTTGCTCTTAAAAAAATTTGTCAAAAATAGTTTAAATTTAAGAATGATGTTTCATTTTGCCTAATTTTTCATGTTTTGTTTTTTACTTGTATTTAGTGAATATGAAATGAAAATAGAGCAGAATAAAATATTTAAAACAGGGACATTTGCTAAGTTGCTAAATTCAAATGTTGATGGTCTTGGTTAATCTTTTTCTGTTCATTACTATTTATCCTTTTTCAGATTTTGAAAAAACTACAAATGCTTGAAACATTCAAAAAAATATATAAGTTTTGTAAAATATGTTTAAATTGTAACTCCATTTAAAAAGAAATTCATTTCACCCTTTCCCTCAGATTTTCTTTAAAATTTGCCTGTGGTACCTTTCAATGAAAATTAAAAAAACCAAAATTTAGGCTCCAAACTCTAATTGTTCCAAAAACTATGAAGTTTTGAAATTAAGTCTATCTTTGCAAATGCTTGCCATAATAAATTTTTAGTACTATATTTTTATGAATAATTTAATTTTAAATTGAAGGAAAAGACTAAAAATAAGTTACCATTTTTGAGGGAGCTGAATCCAAATTAAAAAAAAAAAAACTAACTCAGTTCAAAATTTTTAATTGACAGTTTAATTTTATAATGTTCAACACAAATTTTTTATTTCTCAACCACGGGTTGTAGATTCTCTGATTCTTAGTGTTACTTAACTCTCATTTATATGAATTTTAATTATAATGAAAGAAGAAGTGTTTTGCCATATTAATATAAAATATAGTTTTGGTTTCTTAAAACCTAATGAAGATAAAGCATATTTAAATTTAAACATAAAATTTTCTATTATTGTACACTACTACCATGATATTTTTTGTAATTGTACTTTTTCATGAAAAGGTTCTAATGAAAAAAATGGCTGAAAATTGGTATCTGACCATTTTGTTAGTAGCTTAAATTCAAAGACGTAAAGAATATAGCTTAACTCAAAATACTTGATCATCCTTTTTTATTTTTTATTTGGTCAGTCAAATTTTTTTTGTTTTACACTTTTGGGTTACACTTTAACTCATACTTTGAGTTCCCCAACACTCATTGTGAAATAAGAGATATGAGAAAATCATGAAAAATCATGATATAAACAATAATTTAGATCCCTTGAAGCATAAAAAATGTATTAGAAGATTTTAAATTTGAATATATTATAGTAGTTTTACATATATTTATGTATGTCAGGGCTATTCTAGACCTTTTTCGACAGCATTGAATGTGTTTGGATGACCTTTGGGAGCCGCCCAAATTCAGAAAACAAGGACTTTTTTTTTTTTTATACAGCAAGTATTGTTTTCTTGTAAAGAAATGCCAACATACATGAATATTTTCTAAAATACTGTAAAATAATCTGTATGTATATATAAAATTATCATGGCTCTTAAGAACTTTTTGCCATTAAAAATGACAATGTTAAGTACACTTTATGTGAAAACCATTAAATTTAATTAAGGAAACAAAATTTATTTTATATATTTTTAAAAAAACACAAAAATTCAACTTGGTAGACTGTAATGTTTATTATTTTTTAACAAAAGTATAAACATTCTGAATTTTATTATTATTATTTTTTACTGTTTACATACATCAACTGAAAATTAAGTAGAGCATACCTGGACTACTGCTAAATTGACTGACAAAAAGGGGGAACATGCTAGGAGTGCTGTTACGTGGCTGAGGGTTTTCACAGTTTTGGTTTGGGCAGGCAATCTATCAATTAAAAAGTTTTTTTTCAAGTTTTTCCAGTCTTCTAAATAAATTTTAACATAATGATAAAGTTTATATTTTATTGGAAAAATAAAAGATGATCATGTATATATATATATATATATATATATATATATATATATATATATATATATATATATATATATATATATATATATATATATATATATATATATATATATATATATATATATATATATATATATATATATATATATATATATATATATATATATATGTATATATATATATATATGTATATATATATATATATATATATATATATATATATATATATATATATATATATATATATATATACATATATATCTTATACTGCTGAGTTAGGTGAGCATGATGATGTCATACTCACCTAACGTCAAATGGCCTGCTGCCGGGGGCTTCAGTACATACATCAACTAACAAATAGTCTGACTCGCAGTGGAGTGCTGCTACATCGACTGAGGGTTTGGTATGGGTCAGCAACCTTTTCATTCATTATTCTTTGTTTTCCCTCATCGTTTTCTAAAAACGCTCACTTAATTTAGGCTAGCAATAAAAGTGAGCAATTGCGCATATAAATATGCTATAGTAGTTTGAGTTTGATATATTCAGTAACCAAGTTAATACATGTTAACCACAACAACAATAAAAAAAATATATATATGCATATATTTATATGTTAAATTATTTATTTGATGAAGAGCTGGTTTGACAGTTTATCACATCACAATTCAATCTTTAAATATATTGAAAGTTAGAGCTTTTACAGTGTGCTGTGTAAGAGAGTTCAAATGGACCGCAACTGTTTGTGAAAAGTTTGATCTCTTCTCACATCCTCTTACAAATTGATGGTTGAGATGCTTGTCATGGCTTCCCAGGTTGTGCACCTCATGCCCATTTAGTTGTTGCTGTGGGACCAAAAAATGATCTTCATCAATGTTGTTAAAAATCTTGAATTGTTGGGTTATATCTCCATGTAAACAACGTTCTTTGAGGATGGTAAGTATGAGTATCTGCAGACGCTTTATTTTATTAAAATGGATGATAGATGATATTATCTAAGTGACACGGTCTTAAACATCCTCAAGTAACTTTATGTCTGTTTCTAGATACGGGGACCAGGCTTGAATGGTGAATTCTAGATGTGACCGGATATATGTTATATAGAGTGTGCACCACAAAGTCAAGTTTCTATTTGATTTCTGCAGAAAGTAATTTTGAGCCTTCCTAACATGCAATTAGGTGTGGATATTGCTTTTTCAACTTACGCTCTGACTTTCAGGTTATTTGAGATGAGAATTCCAAGGTCACATTCAATAGTTGCAGTTGCAATTGTGTAGCGCATGCCATCGGCGGTTTCCATTGAGTACTCATGTGATAAACATTTCTTAGGATGCATCACTTTACATTTATCTATGTTAAAGTGCATGAGCTAAGTATTTGATCATGTAACCACTTTATCAATATCTGCCTGGATCATTGTGATGGCCGATGCTGACTTTATGATCCCAATAATTTTTCTGTCATTAGCATATAGTAATCTTGTGAACAATACTATTAGGAAAATTGTTTATTAACATATTGAAAAGTTGCCATATTTCAACCCAAATTAGCAGCTTGTTGTGAATGCTGTATGCTTTCAGTTTATGTAGGAAATGTTTGTGCAGGACTTTATCAAGTGCCTCAGCAAAATTAGTGTTGATAATATCAGCACTATAACCTTGGTGCATAGCCTTGGTTGCTTGAGTTATTTTACATGTTCTTTTGAGACCCATGTTGATACACTTTTGAAGAAAAAAAAATTCACTGACATATGGGAGCCAGTGTGTAATCAATTGACACTAGATAATTGGTTTAGAGTCTCGATTTCTTGTCTGGTATTGGTGCGATACCATACAGTATCAGTATCAAAATCATGTGATACTGGTATCGAAAGTATTGTTAATGTTGGTATCGTTTGGTCTCGATGCGATACTTTACAGTATTGACATCAAGATCACACCATACTAGTATCAAAAGTTATCTCTTATATTGGTATTGTTTTGTACAGTATAAAGAAAGAAAGTTTTTTTTATTTGTTTTTATATTTTTATTATTTATTTCTATATTAAATTATTACAAATAATTTAATTATGTTAAACAGTGTGTAAGGGGCAGACAAATAGGAAAGAGGGGTGGTATTCGGGGTACTACCCTCACCCCTACCTAGGAAATGTCAAACTTCAAAATATTATTGTTAAAATTAAAAAAATAAGAAAAAATGCAAAAAACTGTAATTCAACATTTTATTATTTTTCTCAAGAAAATAAATTATTTATATAACCATTCAATATATTTATTAGCAAACTATCTTATAATCTTTCAAAATTCATTCTAAATGATTAAATGAAACAGTTGTTTTATTTAAAAAAAAGCGTAAAACTTATTTTTTTTTTTGGTTGGACTACTCCCCTAGAACAATGACCTGAGTTCGCCCCTGCTGTGTGCAGTTTCTCATATTGTTATTTAATTAAATTTAATTTACTTGGTGGAGCAATAATTCATAAATTGACTGATTTTTAGGGAGAGTGCTCAAAGCACAGTTTGCTAAATTGGTTGTATGTGTGCCCACTCTGAATTTTTTTTGTTTCACATATAGATACCTACTAATTGTAAAAAAAAGAATTAAATTCACACTTATCAAAGGATCTTTTTTTGGCTATAATATTTCTGAAATTATTTAACTCATTTAACATTGTTTAGGTGTAAAATTTACAGTAAATGCCCCTAAAATTATTAAAATATTAATAACAGAAAATCCTAAATACTAGCGAAAGTACAGCAAAGGAAAAAACAACGAATGGACTATAGCCAAAGTATTAAAAAACAATAACTAAATCTCTAAAAAGAAATTGTACTTGAATTTTGTTAATAAAAAATTTATTAAGTCACATTTTGAGTCTTGATTCGATGCAATACTCTACGATTCTTTTTATTATCGGCATTGTTTGGTATCGAAGCAATACTGATAGTATGACATTGGTACATAAGCTGTACCACACGATACGAGACCATCCTTCTTGGTATCAAGTGGTATTGAACCGATACTGATAGTATCGACATTAGTATATAAGCGATACCACGTGATACAAGACCATTTTTCTCATTTTCGATTTATACGATACTGATTATCTAATAATCTACGGTCATAGTGACCTTTTTCAAAAATTAAATAAAACCAATAACTTTTCATAGTTGTTTTTTATATTGGAAAGGGAGATTCCAAAAATTTACCAAAACTTCACATCTCTAATATGTGTATATATATATATATACATATATATATATATATATATATATATATATATATATATATATATATATATATATATATATATATATATATATATATATATATATATATATATATATATACAGGCTTCGGCAGGAATGACAGGCTATAGCCCGTGTCCGTCTCCGCACCCGTCTAAGTCAATTTAGACGGGCGAAATAAAGCCCGTCTGAAACATAAGTTTTGTGTAAAAAAAAAAGATGAATATTTTGATGTTTTTTTATTAAGATACTCTTTTAAAACTTCTCTCATGACATAATTTTAATATGGATAGCAAACTCCAACTTTTATTGTTTATATTTAAATATAAAAATTAAACAATTTAATCATTATTGTATAACATGATGTAGAAAATAATATAACTAAATCTTACAGTTTTTTAAACTGTAAGATAACTGTTTGATATAATACTAAACAGTTACCATATTATGTTCAAAATTTAATAACTATTATATTAAATAGGGAAATATACACATGTGATACACAAGAAGTATCATGTTGTTTTTTTGGTTTTTCAATGTTTATAATAATAACGATAATAAACTAATTATCCATGTATTTCGCTTTTTTCCGATAAACTAGTTTGTCTTACTTTAAAGACATTTAAAGTGATATTTCCGCGTTAACTTCACGTTTTTTCTTAAAGAGATGGCAGTTTATTTAATATGTAATTATATAACTCGTTATTGAAAATGAAATATCTCATTAAAAATCAACAAACGTCTAATCAATTTTTGTAGATAATATAAATAGTGTTGCTTTATAGTTATGAAGTTATTCAAGTTATCCAGTCATTCAAGTTTTTCAAGTTATTCAAGTTTTTCAGTAAAGATAGTAATGGCATCATCTGGTAGAAGAGTTACATTAGCAACATTTTTGAGTTGGGGTAAAGATGGAGTCTGTGGAAAAGAAACTGAGAATGGAACAATTTTTGTTGTGAAGATATGGTGTATGGTTTGTATAAAATATAAAAAAGAATTGCTTCGCGAGTTAAAAGGTCTGGCAAAATCAAAAGCATTAGCATTTATAGAGGGCACTACGAACGTTAAAGCTAGCAACATACATACGCTTATATACATGCTTATATTGTATATAAAGTAACGGAAGCCCCGGTATCTTAAGAAATTATTAGTACTTCTAAATAAAAACTTATTTTATTAAAAGAAATTAGATTTCAAATTTTTTATTCACGTATCAGAATAACTATTTCCGATCAGGATAGGCATAGGTAAAGCAAAGTTATAAAAATATAAATAACAGTTTAAGTTTTTAATTTGCACGCCCAATAGAATGCAAGAGTATATAAATAATTGAATTTGAAAAATAACATAGTTACGTATCATATTACCAAGCTAACACCAAACAATTCTAAAACTATCGAGCTCATTGATTCAAGGTTAAAAAAAAAAGATTTCAAACTATTTGCTGAATAATTAAAAAAATTAGATTTTGAAAATATTATGTAATATTTTTATTCACAAAGAATAAGAGAAACGAATGAACTAAAAAAGCACGATAAAAGCCTGTATAATTTAATCGAATACTTAAATAAAACAATAATATATAAATATACTCAAAAAGACTTCGGTAAAAAAACACATTAGGATGCTTGAATAAGAAAACGTGATGTTGTTGGTTGTTTCGAGGATTTTTCCCGTCGTTTTCACGTTCATTCGTTTGACTATATCTGCCAGATATTATCTGGAATAAAGATTTAAAAAAAAAAAACATAAAAAACTGAATAAAGTTCCTTCGAGTAAGAAATTTAAACAAAAGCAACCATAAAACAACTAACCCACGTGAAACGAAATTATATCTGTGCAAGTGAAAACTTTGAAAAACAATTATTGAAATCTTAGTTTTAAGTATTATCCAACTCATTTACGGCAGTGTTTTAATTACTTAAGTAATTAAACATTTTAAACAGTTAATCGCTTTCTAACATATTATTTTAGTGCAATTCACAAAATGTTTAATATTCAATGACATTTTCATTCAAAAAGAGAAATTAACAAATTTAAAAAAAAAAAAGTTCAAACTTTAGAATTTTTTTTAAAGCTTAAAAAAGCCCGTGCAAGACCATCTAGACGGGCGGCCCTCATAGCCCGCCAAGTCTATTTAAGACGGGCTTTTCATAGCCCGTACGGTTTTTATTCCTGCCGAAGCCTGTATATATATATATATATATATATTTATATATATATATATATATATATATATATATATATATATATATATATATATATATATATATATATATATATATAATTTTATTTACTATTATTTTAATTGTATATTTTACTTTATAGGATGGATACCAAAGGTATTTATCAGTTTCCTGATTCAATAGGAACTAAATATATTGGTGAATTCAAAGATGGGATGTAAATACTAAGTATTATTCGGTTTGATAATATTTTATACAATACCTGAAAATCATTATCAGAGTTATATAATTTTTCTTGTTAAGTTTTATAGTTCATGTGGTTTAAGTATGCAACATGCAAATATCATGATTGCCATGAAGATTCTTAGCTAGAAAAGCTATCAATTAGCTGGCAAAAATGTTCATTATCAGGTTGACACGGAAAAATCCGGTCAACTTTAAATTGAGATTTCTCTAAAACTACAAATGTTTTTCATTTCTTTTATTTTTTTAATTAAATTTTACTTCCTTTTATTTATTTGTGTTGATAATCTTTTATTTACAAATTAATCATTTGCAAAATATTTCAGAAACAAATTGACGTGCGTAAAAAAGTTGTGAATTTTTTTTTGCAAAAATCCATGACCTACCTATCATTTAATTGCTAAACGTATAAATGTCCCAAAATTTGCGGTCATAGATATTATAAATAAGTTCAAGACTACTCAAAGCTTTGAAAAAAAAAACCTGTAACTGAAAGAAAACTTTTCATAAATCCAAAAAGATAAAGTTGATTTTTCGTTCAATAGCAAGAAATCCAAATAAGTCACAGCAAGATCCAGCAAGAAAATTCAAGATTTTGCATTCTTATATCAAAAAAGTACTTAAAAATTCTGGAATTAAAGCGTTTTATAAGAAAAGTATACCTAAGAGAAGCTTAAATGGTGAAATTAAAGGAATTCGACCTGCAAAGAAGTTGGTTAAAATAATGGCGGATAAAAGTATGCGCATAATTGAAGTCAACAAAACATATTGCAAGTTCGATTTTTCACAACTTCCTGGTCAACAATTTTACTATGAAAACAAAGATAAACCTGTCAATGATTAATTTAAATATATTTGACGAGAAAAATTTGCATCCAAGTTCCTTGTGTGGTAAGCAATTTGTAGCTGTGGTATGCAGTCCTTTTGTTTTGTCACCAAGAAGATCTTGACTGCCGATCTCTACATCAAAGAATGCTTTTAAAAAAGACTTTTGCCATTTATGAAAAAACACTAATACCGATATCTCTTTTAGCCAGATCTTGCTGCTTCTCATTATTCTAAAAAAGTTCTACAGTGGTGCAAAGATAATAATGTGAAAGTTGTTTCTATAGATGTGAATCCTCCAAATCATCCTGAAAGCGCAAGATTGAAGATTTTTTAGCAACAGTTAAAGGAGTTCTTTGTAAGACAGATGGAGTAACAAAAAATAAAAAGGAATTCAAAAATAGTGAATTAATGCCACCAATAAGGTGAAAAAAAAAATCTGCAAAATGATGGCATTAACCCGCTTTAAAATTTGATCTCTTGCCAAACAGCCCATCAAGCCTTTTAAAATTAATTTAAAACTCTATTTGATGTAAACACATTTAATAATAAAAAGAATTAAAATAAAAAGCATTTATTGTTTTAGAGAAATCTCAATTTAAAGTTGACCGGATTTTTTCGTGTCCACCCGATACGTTATGAAATTACTTATTCAAATTTATAGTACTAATAAATTTTTAGTTATGTTTCAGCAAGTTACAAAACCACGATATGTAGCTATTAACATATTGTTTTAAAGTAGCTAATAAACAACAGCAATATATATATATATATATATATATATATATATATATATATATATATATATATATATATATATATATATATAAATATATATATATATATATATATATATATCAGTGCTCGAAATAAGGACCAATCAACGATTAATGATTGGCTATTTTTTAGGAAAATTTCGAAAACTGCAAGGGAAATTAACCTGTTTTTGTAAAAAAATTACGTTTGATTGCCAAGCTTTGGAAAACTATTTTGAGCGCTGATATATATGATATATAACAACATAACAACACAAGTTGATATATATATATATATATATATATATATATATATATATATATATATATATATATATATATATATATATATATATATATATCACGGCGATATATAAAAGTGAGCTTGACGTCACAAGAATTTTTGTGTTTAAAAATAAAAAGAGTTTCCGCATAAAAAGTATAAAAATTCACTAACTTTAAATTAATAGTATTTTTTTTCTATAAACGCTTTAATCTTGGAATTAAAAAAATTTAAAAGAACTATCTTTCTTCGTTAAATAAATGTTTACATAAAACAAAATAAAAATAAACATTGTTAAAATATTTTAAATGATTTTGGATCACTTTTCTATTTTTTGCGAATTTTATGGAAATGTCTATTTTATCAGATTTTTGGAGGGCATAGATACAAAAAATAGTTTAAGTTAGTTTTTTTAGCATTATTATTTTTGTTTTTACTTGTTTTATATGAAAAACGTTTAATTTTTGTTATGCCCTCCAAATTATTAAAATTTCAACCCTCTATGCACATGAAAATCAAAAAAATTATTTTCTGTACTTCTAACTAAAACATCTTTAATCTTGGCAAATTTTGTTGCTTTTAGCAAAAATTTGTAGTTACATGCGTAAAATTTTTGTTTATGTTTTAAAGCAATGATGTAACTTTAAATGCGTTACTTCCCAATTCACTGTGTAATTAAATTTATTAAAACAGTTTTTTTAGCGAGACAAATTTTAGTGTATAAATAAAAAAAACTTTGGCGGTTTTTTTTTTCTTGTGGCTAATCTACGAACATCAGATAAGTTGTTTAATCCTCTGATATCTATTGCATACTTTTTTTTTAATTTGTCAATAATTATTATTTGATTTTATTTGTTTGTATTATATTTGTATTAAGAAGTTTATTTATCATTTTGCATTTAAGTGAAAGGGAGATACAAATACTATACATTGGATGCTTAAAAGCTTAAGCTTTAAATTTTCAGACATTAAGCTTTAGCTTTAAATTTTTTAACATTTAAGTAAGATTTTTTTGTTTTTGTAATAGTCCAACAATGTACATTTAATAATAAATATCGAAAATATATTCTTTCCGAGTTTTTTTTGATAAAAAGTAACATCAAATTACTAATATTTAGCCAAATTCAACATTTGCCGCGTTTATTCTAAAATTAAAGAAGTTTTTTAATATATCTGTGAAACGTCATCAAATAAAACATTTTATTGGTGTTTTTATTCTTTTTACAGAGCAAAATTATCTCTAATGTTTCAAAAGTTATAAAAGTTTTAATAACACCCCTTACATGAATATTTTCAAAAAAATAACAAGAAGCTGTAAAACTTGCTTGAAACAGCTGTGATATATATTTATATCAACCCTTGGAATTAGTAGAAAATGAGGTCGCCAATAATTTGCCAACCTCAATCTTTTTTAGGTCGGCATCAGGTCAGCAAAAATTATTAAATACAAAGGACTGACCATAAAATATGGAAACAAGGTATATATATATATATATATATATATATATATATATATATATATATATATATATATATATATATATATATATATATATATATATATATATATATATGTATATATATATATTATATATATATATATTATATATACATATATATGTATATATATATATATCTTTTAAAATCATTTTCTTGTTATACGATATTTATGTTTAATGAGTTCGATTAATAAGGTTGTCAGCATCGCGGGGTTTCCACCTGACGATGATGACCGCTATAGGTCAGCAAAATATTGTAAATATATATTAACATCAAAATATATTTAAAACAAAAGGTTTATACGCAGCCTTATTAATCAAACTCATTAAACATATATATATATATATATATATATATATATATATATATATATATATATATATATATATATATATATATATATATATATATATATATATATATGTATGTATATAATTTAGTAAAGACACTATCTAATTTTTGTGCTCTTCAACAGCATGTTTCACCATCAGTTGGTTCATCAGGAAGAATGTCTTAAAAAATTTCACAGGAAGTTGGGAGCTGTTATAATTAATTATGTAATAACTGTAGTTATTTTGCAACCAGGAAGTTGCATCAACTACATTAGATAATTAAAAAATCATGAAAAGAATTCTTTAGAAATAAGATAATTTTAGACTAGCCATTTATTTTTATAATTTTTTAAAAGGAACTTATTTTCATGTCTGCATGTAGAAATTAGTTCAGATTTTTTATTCAGTAAATTTTCTTGATCTAAATGAGTAATAATTTCAAATTTTTCTTGCAGATATAGTATACGTTTTTTGGAAATGTCATTATAGGCAGGCTCATTTTTAGAATAGACCAGTTTAATTTAAAGTTAATATTTTTTTCTTTTAGTTGCCAAATATATTTTGACAGCATAGTCTCTTTTGAGATTGCTTTCAGTAATTGCTTTCGTTAATTCGACAATATGTAGATAAAGTTACTCTTTTAAATACTTACTATGCATTATTTTCATCTCATCTTAGTTATTGCTGTCAAGTTTGGGGTCAAACTGGCTTTCGTTGTTTGTTATTTGAACATCCTTGGTTCACGTAATGTTTGTAGCTAATGTAATGCGTACCTAAATGAACATCATGGCAATGTCTCTTGAGCATTAATTTTTAATTGTGTACACACAATTTTCTCTAACATTCACAGAACATTCATAGAATGTGCTTGAATGTTCTCAATGTTTGTCAAGTTTACTCAAATGTTTTGTGTTAGCTGGGTAGCTACATGTTGTAAACTATAAAGCATAGCTATATTGCAGCAATAAAGCTGCAATATAGCGACATAGATAAAATCACTATGTTAAAAGTTCAGTTTTTATCATAAATATATCAAATCCAATACTTATAATCAAATTTTTTTCAAATCTAAAAACAAAATAAAACAGTAATGTTAGATTGCTCCAAAAATTGATATAAATTTAGCTATTTGCTAGTTAGTTGCTTGCTGATTTTCTACTGGGTCTTTATAAGTTGAATTTTTTTAGAAGCAATATTTCTTTTGAAGCAATATTTCTTTAAAACATTTTTGCTCCACTAATTTCTCATTGCAAAATAAAGGCCTTCAAATACTAGTTTG